TCCACTCACCTCAGCCTCCTAAAGGCGCGGGATTACAGGCTGAGCCACCGAGCCCGGCAAGAGCAACTTTTAAATAAACAACTCTTATATCAAGCAGCATTCAGATTCATCGTTTATAGAACTGAACCATACTTATGCTATCACATGTACATTTTATAGTAAAGAAAGAAGCCAAGAAGTTGCCTAAGAATTTATTTCTCTCATTTGGAAAATTTATGCATTAAGCTACACAGGGACAAATCTATAATGAGTTCATTTTATCCTAGCCACCAAAGTTGTTTCCTCACAAAAACGATGGGTATTTCCATCTTTTGCACGATTAGAGGATTTCACTCTGAAACCACACTTTTCTAATGTCATTCCAGAAATCAGCTCTGTTCTAAGTAAACCATTTGGGGAAATCACTTACCAAAAGTATTGATGCTAAGCTGGTCAATGAAATCCCAAAATCGTTCAATTACATCCTGTACTTGTTTCTCACATTTACCCTGTGATGAAAAAACATACAGTATTATCCCTCAACACAATGCACTTAGAAGAGATGTGGCTTCATAAAAATAACTGACATGGAAAGCACTTCACTACAATCAAACATTTAGGTCCCATCTTTGACATAGGGCAGTAACTTCAGTATAATGAGTACCCAAGAAAGTAGAACATATTGTCACTGACACTTTCATAATTTCATTTTTACAATTGAATTTAGAATTACCAGGAGACCAACTCAAGAAAACCAGTTTGCCAAAGACGGGACATTCAGTAAGGAGCATACTGATCACACACACAGTGGACAGAAAAGAACACAACCAGATGCCCTGAGAAGCCTCCCTAAGCCTTGAAACGCTCTCCATTGCTTTACATGAGAAGAAGCATGCTTCTGTAGAGGACTGGAGAGTCACCTTGGGTAAGTTAGGCAGCCTTCCAGGTCTCTCCTATGCATTCAGCACTTGTTTCAAAATCACACCTTGAATAGTTTTGCAATCTTAGCCAATTCTGTAAGTCACCTAGAAACCAAGCACCGTTACCACAAAGCCCCCTCCCGTGGGGCCTTCCTAGTCTCTGGGATCAGTCTCCTGCTATGGAGAGCAGAAGTGCCAGAGACTTGAAAGCACTTAGCTTTCCTCCTCAGTCATACCCATGCATAATAACTAAAACACAAACAACGGGCTAGAAGGATTGTAGCCGCGTTTGTGTTGATTTCCTTCCATTTGCAAAATCAAGCACTTACAACGTAAAAATGTCCCATCTGGCTATTACAGAAAAAGCTGCACATGAATAAAAACTCACAGTCGTGTCACAAAATCCTACTGTACAGGGTTTTCCTTTCCTCAAAAATAAGTTCTTTTGTTCGGCATTGACGTAGGGCACACATCGGCCAGAAAGGTCCCTGCAGCACACCTTGCAGGAGTTGTCAGTTTCTGAAACAGAGAACATGCATCGACAGCTGGAACCTTCGCAGACCTGGCTCTCCTCCCTCCTCTTCTTTCCTCCCTGGCCAAGACCCCAAAGAGGCAAGAAATCACACATATTGAAATAATAGCTCACACTATCTGTAGTCACCACAGTGAGTGGTTTCTGAACTCACACTCCCTCAGTTACAGAGCCACAAGGTTAGAAAACCTTACAGAGAAAAGTGTATAGATTAAAAGCCTTTCTTCAAAGTCACATTATTCTACTTCAAGCCCTTCGTAATGCTCTTCTAAATGTTTCCCTCTGTCCCAACATCCTTGTCACGCTGCCGCTTTCAAAATCGTTGGCTTCTCAGGCTGGAATGCACCCTGTAGGGCCGACACTGGCTCCTCCAGGGCCACAGCAGCTGTGACAGAACTGTCTGCCTGCAGGTGTGGAGCTGGGTGATCCCAGGGCATGAGGATGAGCCTAAGCTCTACCACTTGTCCACCAAGACCAGCTCTGACAGTTCAGGGGGTAAAGTAAACCAGCTGGGCATCCATGAGCCATGCGGGCACAAAGAATGCCAGAAACACCAGAAAACTACGCTGCCAGTGTAACTCAGAGAACTGTCTGTGACCTGGGGGAAAGTGCATGTTTGCACTTAGGAGAAGAAAGAAAACTAGAACAAGCAAAACCAAAACCTTTCCATCACTCACTAATTTATCAGATATTCCTTGAGCACGCTTGTCCTTCCAGGACACCCTAAGTCTCTTGCCACTACAGGTTATCTATTGGGCAACTATTATGTGTTGCCTTCTTTATTTACATGCTATTCTACCTGTAAGAGCCTCTTACTTCATTGTGTATGGTGAGCTCCCATCCCAATGAGTTTTACTGGGTTCTGTGTTTATTTTGAAAGTCACAGACCCCTCTCATCATATGTTCCATGGCTGAAGTGGGGAGAGAAGCTCAGAGTGCAGCCAGCCCCTGACCAGTCCACGAAGCCCTCCTCAGACCCAGAGATACCAAAACTAATGTGGAAACCTAAGGTCAACCAGAAGGTCAACATGGGAGAGGTTCCTGGCCCAGGCTGCTCTGGCAGAGATCAGAAAGGAGCAGACCCCGCCTTATGGACATGGCAAAAATCCTGATCTAACGGGCAAAGATCCTAGGATCAGGCATTTCTGGTTGAGTTCCTGAAGGAGGAGCCTTGGTCAATACCAGCAGGAAGTAGCCAGCTCCCGCTGCTTTCAGGGCTTGCATGATAGGGAGACAGGAAGGAGCAGACAACCTCCACCCCCACTCAGCCACAACAAAATCCCCTCCTACACCTACACCCTCCTGACGTTGTTTTCCTCATAATTTGGGCTTGACCCAAAGGTTTTCTCTTCGGAAACATCCCTGAGGACTCTAAAGGGGCGTGGACTCCCACTTCCATTATGCACCATCGCTTATATGTTCTCTCTGTCATTGAGTAAGTTCCCGCCACATCGCCTGAAAACGTAGTAAGAAGAAAGGCTGCCGGCCGTGGTGGATCAAGCCTGTAATCCCAGCACTTGGAGAGGCAGAGGCAAGAGAATTGCCTGAGTCCAGGAGTTCAAGACCAGCTTGGGCAACTTGGTGAGACCTCATCTCTACAATAAATCAAAAAATTAGCCGGGTGTGGTGGCGTGTGCCTGTAGCTCCAGCTATTTGGAATGCTAAGGCGTACGGATTGCCTGAGCCCAGCAAGTTGAGGCCGCAGTGGCCATGAGCATGCCACTGCACCCTGGGCAACAGAGACAGAATCTTACTTTAAAAAAAAAAAAAGAGAAAGACCAACAGGACAGTTTCACAGCTATGATGGAAGAGCCAGAATCTGAATGCAGAGATGTCTGAATGCTACTGACTTCCCCACATCCCCTTGCCCCTTGTGTGGTTCTCACCACTGCCTGACCAGCAGTGAGCAGCTGATCCACCTCCAAATGGAGGGACAGAGACTGGCAGACAAAGCCCATGAGTTCTTTTTTTCAAATTTTTGAGTCAGAGTCTCACTCTGTCACCCAGGCTGCCACCACAGCCTTGACCTGCTGGGCTCTGGTGATCCTTCTGCCTCAGCCTTCCAAGTAGCTGGAACCACAGGTGTGTGCCACCATGCCCGGCTAATTTTTTGCTTTATTGTAGAGGCGAGGTCTCATCAAACTGCCCAGGCTAGTCTCAAACCCCTGGCCTCTGGCAATCCTCTCGCCTCCACCTCCCAAAGTGCTGGGATGATAGGCATGAGCCACCACGCCCAGCTGGCCATGAGTTCTTCTGCGGCAGGACTGAGCATGAAACTGCACTCACTGTCACAAGCACAGGACTCCAGCTGCTGCTCCCTCTCGCAGAAGGGGATGCACTTCCCATCCTTACACTTGCCGAGATCCAAGCAAACCGTGTCATCTTCAGCATTTCCCGGAGGGGGGCACTCACTGCTGTTACCTGGAAGCAAACACCAGTCAGCACACAGAGACACCGGTTCACCAGACCTGCATGACGCACGGCTTCTCACAAAAGAAGTAAGCACCTTGTCACAGCAAGAAGTGACCCACAGAGCAAGGACAGCAGCCTGCCTCTCACCAGCAAAAAGCATTCAGGGAGTGCCTGTGTGCCAAACTATACTGGAGGCCCGATCCTCTGAAGGCCCCGACTGTGTGCATGCACGCTCTCCCCCATCGCTCCTCACAGCCACTGCTTCAAATGTTCCTGAATTGTCTTAAACATGTTTATTGGGAAACATAAGACACACAAAAATACATAATGTATTTTGTACACACACACACACACACACACACAGGCAGGCAATGTGTACAGCACTATTATCACTAATGAAACTCGTGCCATGACGCAGACTAGAATGCAAACCCCCAGGAAGGCCGAAAAGAGTGCCTGACGGCCTGCCTGCCGTCATGGCACACAACCCCCGGCTCAGCCTCAGCCTGGCCCCTCCCACACTCCCAGGTCTTCCTCGCCTATTCCTTTCACCTGCAATGCTCATGTTTCCACTCGTCTGGGGGGACCAGCTGGCTTTGCTCGTAATCCGAGTTTTGCTTCAAAGGTTTCCTCTTCTGGGACATCCTTGCGAATGCTGTCTCACTGGGTGTGGCCCCTGTTTTCGTGACCCACTGTCACGTATGCTCTGTCTCTCCCTCACTACACATGTCCTGTAGCTCATCTCCGGCTGTTTTCTGTTTCCCGTCCACTAGACTGGAAAGCTCCAGAACAGCAAAGATCAAATCTGTTAAAGAATCAACTTATGTCCAATCCCTATGATTTTGTAGGTATACTACAAATATTTCTTGAGTAAATCAATGATTTTTAAAGCCAAAGAAAAGCTACCAAAGAATATCGAACTGGGAAAAGACAGGATGAAATGAGGGACTCATGCTTCAAAATGAACAGCACAAACAGTCAAAAGTCAACACAAGAAGAAGAAAACAAAAATTTAAAAAACTATATGAAAGCAATGGACTATATCCAGAGCTCTGAACTGGCTTTTCAGCTGAAAACTGGAGCCAATCAAAATAATTCTGACTTGAGCTCTGGAGCAATGAAGCAGAACTTAAAGAAATCTAGCCTGTTTCACACAAAAGCAGTGGTTTACTATTTAGTGCCTATCAGACACTCAGCACTTTGCCTCTGATTTCATAAGACCCTTCATGGGCGCTAGGTATTCACACTTTCAACAGACAGGCATTTAACAAACTAACTACTACTGAAAGCAAGCTATGTAACACATCCAGTGAGCTTAAGGAAAGTTTATACTGTGGATCATAATTGTATTTTTCTTGTATGATACTGCCCTGATACATCAAAAAATGCTCAATAAATATTTGTTGGATATCTGTTTTTTTTTTAAGTTGGAGTCTCACACTATCCTCTAGGCTGGAGTGCAGCGGCACACTCACAGCCACCCCAGCATCGACCTGCTGGGCTCAGGCGATCCTTCCGCCTCAGACTTCCAAGTTGCCAGAACTATAGGCGCGCGTTACCACGTCCAGCTAATTTTTAAAAAATATTTATTGTATAGATGAGGTCTTGCCAAGTTGCCTGGGCTGGTCTCAAACCTGCAGGCTCAGGCAATCCACTCGCCTCGGCCTCCCAAAGTGCTGGGATTACAAGCTGAACCACCGAGCCTGGCTGAACATCTATTCTTAAAAGACCAAAATCAGAGTATCAGACATATAGGAAAATAATTTTTAAAACAGTATCATCTAGCCTGGTGCGGTGGCTCAGACCTGTAATCCCAGCATTTCAGAGGATGAGACAGGAGGGTCATTTGAGCGTAGGTGTTAAGAGACAAGCCTGGGCAACATAGTGAGACCATATCTCTACAAAAAATAGCCAGGCATGGTGGTATGTGCCTGTAGTCCTGGGTACACAGGAGACTGAGGTGGGAGGATCGCTTAGACCAGGAGGTCGAGGCTACAGTGAGCTGGGATCATGCCACTGCACTCCAGCCCAGGCAAAAAAGGGAGACCCTGTCTCAAAATAATAAAGTGTTGCCTATTTCAGGGGTTCCCAACACCTGAGCCACAGACCAGTACCAGTCTGTGGCCTGTTAGGAACCAAGTCACACAGCAGGAAGTGAGCAGAGCAAGTCACACAGCAGGAAGTGAGCAGAGCTCTGCCTCCTGTCAGTGGCATGAGATTCTCACAGGAGCGTGAACCCTATTGTGAACTGCGCATGTGTGGGATCTAGGTTGTCACTCCTTATGAGTTTGCCTGCTCATTCCCCCCACCCCCGTCCACAAAAAAGCTGTCTTCCACGAAACTGGTCCCTGATGTCAAAAAGGTAGTGCCTGGTCTATTTAACATGGTCCTCAAAGTTTAGCATGCATCAAAATCACCTGACAGGATGTTATATAACAGATTGTTGGGCTCCATCCCCAGTTTTTGGTGCAGTCACTCCAAGAGGGGACTGAGAACTTCCATTTCTAACCAGTTCCCAGGTGATGCTGCTGCTGGCTGTGAAATGTTGGTTTCCTCATTATGAGATTACTCTCTGCTAGTTGCTACTTTGTATAAAACATCAAGGGAACAAAAGGCTTTTTGACAAGAACAAATACATTTTTTCAAATTCTTTTGCTTATGCTTATTTAAAAGAAAACATCTTTCTAAATCTGTATTATTATTATTATTATTAAGACTGAGCACAGCTAGAAAATGCCTTTTTTTTTTTGAGAGTTGGAGTCTCACTCGGTCATCCGGGCTGAAGTGCAGTGGAACAATCATGGCCAACGCAGCCTCGACCTGCTAGGCTCAGGCGATCCTTCTGCCTCAGCCTTCCAAAGCAGCTGGAACCACAGGCATTCACCACCATGCCTGGCTAATTTTTTTTTTTTTAATTTATTATAGAGACGAGGCCTTGCCAAGTTGCCCAGGCTGGTCTAAAACCCCTGAGCTCAGGCAATCCTCTCACCTCCCAAAGTGCTGGGATTACAAGCATGAGACAATGTTCCTGGCCAGACCACTGAGCAACATGGCGAGACCTCGTCTCTACAATAAATCAAAAATTAGCCAGGTGTGGTGGCAGGTGCCTGTAATTCCAGCTACTTGAAAGGTTGAGGCAGGACTGCTTGAGCACAGCAAGTCTAGGCTGCGGTGGCCATGAACAGCATGCCATTATACTCCAGCCTGGGTGACAGAGTGAGACTCAACACAAGCAAATAAATAAATAAATAAAGCAAGCTTGACTGAGATATTCAAGCTCCAAACATTTGGTAAAATAATGTGATACTGGCTGGGCTCAGTGGCTCAGCCTATAATCCCGTGCTTTGGGAGGCCGAGGTGAGTGAATTGCCTTGAGTCCGTGAGTTCGAGACCCGCCTGGGCAACTTGGCGAGACCTCATCTCTACAACAAATCAAAAATAATAATAATAATGTGATACTGACAGATCCCAGAAAATAAACATCATGAGCAAAATATTACAAAATGCACATTTAAGAAGCAAAGGAAAAACCAAAATAAGACAACTTCACATTCACAGACACTTCCAACTTTCTGTTTGCATCCTGATCATAAAACCAAGGAAGGTTACAATAAAAAACATAGATAATAACGGGTTTTGGCGAGAATGAGGAGAAACCGGAACTCCCACACATGGCTAAGGCCACTTTAGAAAACAACCCGGCGGTTCCTCAAAAGGTGAAGGATACAGTTATCATGTGACCCAGCAATTCTACCCCTGAGGGTAGACCCAAGGGAACTGTCCACACAAAAACCTGCACTCAAATGTTTACAACAGCATTTTTCTTAATAGCCCAAAAGTGGAAACAACCCAAATGTCTATCAACTAATGAATGAATAAACAAAAATGTGGTGTAGCCAATGCAACTGAATATTACTCAGCAGTAAAAATAAATGAAATACATACATGCTACAACACAGATGACCCTTGAAAATGTTATGCTTGCTGAAAGAAGCCAGGCAAAAAAAGATCACATATTGTATGATTCCACTGATATGAAATGCTCAGAAAAGACAGAGCCATAGCTACAGAAAGTAGGTTAGTGGCTACTTTGAGTTGTGGGAAATGGGAGGATTAGAGGCTCACAACTAAAAGATACAAGGTGGCCAGCAAGGTGGCTCATGCCAATAATATCAGCACGTTGGGAAGTCGAGGTGAGAGGACTGCCTGAGCCTATGGGTTTGAAACCAGCCTGGGCAACTTGGTGAGACCTCATCTCTACAGTAAATAAAAAAATCAGCCAGGCGTGGTGGCATACAACTGTAGTCTCAGCTACTTGGAAGGCTGAGGTGGAAGGATCACCTGAGCTCAGCAGGTTGAGACTACGGTGGCCATGAGCATGCCGCTGTACTCCAGCCTGCAATACAGAGTGAGACTCTGACTCAAAAATAAAATAAACAAACAAACAAACAAACAAATAAATAAAAGACACAAGGATTCTTTCTGGAACGATGTAAATGTTCTAAAGGTGATTATAGTGATTGGTATACAACTCTGGATATACTAAAAATTATTTAATTGTACTCTTTAAATAGGTGAATTGCATGGTATGTCAATTATGTATCAATAAAAGTATTAGAAAACCAAACCAACCAACTGAGAGAGACAGAAATTTAGAAAAATATAAGAATAGTACACCTGGCACAGTGGCTCAAGCTTGTAATCCTTGCACTTTGGGAGGAGGCAGCGAGAGGATTGCCTGAGCTCAGGGATTCAAGACCAGGCTGAGCAACATGGCGAGACCTCTCTCTCTATAATAAATCAAAAATTAACTGGGGGCGATAGCACATGCCTGTGATTCCAGCTACTTGGAAGCCTGAGGTGGAAGGATCGCCTGGCCCAGCAGGTCGAGCATGCGGTGGCCGTGAGCGTGCTACTACACTCCAGCCTGGGTGACAGAGTGAGACTCCAACTCAAAAAAAAAAGCCACACACGCACAAAATAACACTACATTATCTTTCAAGGATAAATACATATCCAGGCAAATACCATCCCCCAGTAGAAAAGATGTCTATGAAGGGAAAGAGAGTGATAGGAATGAAAGAGAAATTTTTAAAAAATGGGTTGTAGCCTGGGCCATACAGCGAGACCGCCTCTCTACAAAAAATCAAAACATTAGCTGGGTGTAGTGGCGCATGCCTGAATGCCAGAAACTCAACTCTGCAAGTGAGGCTAAAAACACGGCTGCTTTCACCTGAACAATACATGATCTTGCTTTTCAAACACACACATAGCCACTTGAGCCACAGCATTCCCAGAGAAGCAACAAGAGCATGTTACCTGTGCAGTAAGATACGCCTTTGCAAGTAGCATTAATAGCCTCCTGGCACTTCTTCTGGGCAGTCTCAAACTGACAGTTTTTACAGCATGGACTGTTCCTATCACTGAAGAAGAAGAGTAGACAGGGACAGTTCAATTCAAATGGCAGTCCTGTATCAAACACTACGATAATGTACAATGACTTCAAAATCATAGACGACCTCCTGGCCCTGTCCCCTACTCCTGCATAATCAGACTTCCCTGGTGCTGGGGCCACTTGCACACACTCTGTCCCTTCCTAACGAGGATACGGCATCATCAATACCACATTTCAGTGAAAAAGAATAACACAGAGTGGTCATCTTTTTTTTTTGGAGTTGGAGTCTCACTCTGTCGCCCAGACTGGAGTGCAGTGGCCGCTCCCGGCCACTGCAGCCTCGACCTGCTGGGCTCCGGCGATCCTTCCGCCTCAGCCTTCCAAGTAGCCGGAATTATAGGCGCGCTACCACGCCCGGCTAATTTTTTGATGTATTGTAGAGATGAGGTCTCGCCTGCACAAGCGGGTCTCGAACCCGCAGGCTCAGGCAATCCACTCACCTCAGCCTCCCAAAGCGCGGGATTACAGGCTGAGCCACCGAGCCTGGCTCAGAGTGGTCATCTTTAAAACATCTCGGTGTGCTTGGTTTTCATAACTTAGTGCATTAATTTAAAAAATATTAGCCGGGCTCAGTGGCTCAGCCTGTAATCCCGTGCCTTTGGGAGGCTG